TTAATAATTTGATCCATATAAACTTATTACTGATTGAGGATAAAACTGGCCAAAGGATATGTACTTCTTATTGCGACGTATTGTTTCTCCGTCAGGTGGCCAAAGCCACAGGGAGTGGCATCTAAATCTGTCCTATTGGAAAAAAATATCAGTAGTTGCAGCATTTACAAATTATTAACACAATAGGCCTTTGTCACTGCAGACATTCAGGCCTGTCAATCACACATTAGTTCCCTTGTTATTGTGAGTAATAGCATTCAAATTTCTAATACTTTCATTTCATTTAAGCAATGCTTCCAGGCCAACAGCAGGCCACTGTGCAATAGGAAGTGGTCTGAACATGTGAAATATAATGCAAAGGTGAAACAAGATGGAAATTGCAATGCAAGGGACTTGCTCCTCCTTCTGAGGGAGTTTTTATTTGTAACCACTATTGGAGTAGGCATTGAATTATATAACAGGATGTGTACAAATATTCTGTCAGCCAAGCCACACTACTCATAGTTAGACCTCTTATAATAAACAAATCTGCTTGTGAAAGCTATGAAAACATAACAAAGTGAGAGAAGAGCAGCTTCAGTTCATGCTCATGGAAAGCAATAGTAAACCTACTTCTTCAGTGTATGATGGCACCTTCACAACAGATGATGAATTACTTTGATTTGAGACGTACTAAATCCACATTTTGTAGTATCATCATGCCATGATGGGATTTGATAACCTGTTATTGCTGGAATATGCCCAGGAAAAAATCTTCCCTGAGTCCAACTTAGTATTTTGCCCTATACTGGATATATTCTTGTTACCTGCGTGGGTATAAACACACACACACAAGCAACTGTCATCTTTCTCTTTGTTGAATCTTCCTAGATCAAGATCGATTTGCACCTTTGTGCTTTGTCCTTCATTGTGGATATTTGTAATCCCATTTGGGTTAGCTGTCTGCATGTTGAAGCAACGATCAGGTGACGGCAAAGAGAGTGAAACCTGTATAAAAAGAATTAATTCAAATGAAGTGATTTTACAGTATATTGAAACAAACACAAACTTTCTTAGTGGAATAACTGTGTGTTTCAGAAATCACTTCATATTTGGCATTTGATCTTGTCGTCTAAATTATAATCATTCATAGTTTATTCCCACAGGCCATTAAATCGAGGTGTCACTGCTGCTTATAGACTGATTTTCGACTGACCCAGCTTGGTAAACCACTTCTTTGTAGGCAGATTGTAATCATAATTCTTGACTGGGAGCAGCATTTGACGTGTTTTCAGTGTGTGCTGGCTGCATTTTATGAAAGATGTAGCAAAGTTCATACTGCAGAGAAATGTCAGTTCTGAGAGCCCGAGAATGCCGCAGGGAAGATTTGACAGCTTTGTTCAGTCGTTTCCTGGGAATCAGCAGAGATCAGAGGCAAAAAAGAACAGGGTTCCCTCTATATTGCAAATAGATTTCCTAACCTCAGCTCCAGGTCAGCTATCTGCACAGCTCTGTTTGCTCACTTATAGATTATTTTGAGCTGTTCTATACCAGGCATTTTCAAATAGCTGCAATATCTAATAATGGATTGTGCTACAGAAGGAAGACATCTGTGTAGATAATCTTATTTCAACCCCTTCACCTTTAAACCACTACTCTGTGTGCCAGGATGGCAGAATGGAGGAAATATGTGAGTGTGAGTGTGCAAGTCTCCACCAATTCTCACTCCATTCTCACCAAGAAATCAGATTGTTCTGTTGTTCTGCTTTGTTTGTTCCTAAGCAGTGCTTTGAAATGCCCTTTACTGCAGGTTTGCGAACAGGATGCATGCACAGACGGGCTGCCAGTTCTAGCAGCTGACCGCTATGTGAGACAAAGTGTGAAGTAATATGCTGTGAGTCCTGGTCAGACTGGTAATTTACTCCAGTCACACAGGGAATAGAAGACATAGAGAAACAGAGAAAAAGAGGTAAGGGCAGCGGGTGAAGAGGTGAAAGCTGAAGGTCCTGTCTTGTCTTGATTTCTAGCCAGTTTAGCAGTCTCCCTCCTGCTTTTGTGCAGTCCTACTGATCTCTTCTGTTTCACAGTCACTCTCATCTCATCAACCTCTCACACTATCTGGTGTGGGGCCAGTAAGTTATACACATAGGTTAGAATTTTTTTTCCTTCTATGAACTATTCCCAGGACAGTGGCATAGTAGTAGCTCCCTGCTCATTGTAGTAAGAGCTGAATGATCTTCTTCAATGGAATGAGTCAATTGACTTGCCGACATTTCCTGTACTCTTATTGCTTAAATGAGAAGCTGAGCTCAAGACTGGTAATAACCTCTCTCTCCCTCTCTCTCTGTATCCCCACCCTCCTCCATCCTCTCTGACTCACAGGAAACAAGATGGAAGGATTCCTCATATGTCTGATGAAGTAGAGCCCTCACTAGCACACTCCCACCCTCCATTTCCTCTTACATCATTTTCAAAGGTAACAAAAGACTTTGACCTGCTGTTGTTCTCTTCTCTGCTCAGGTTTGCATTGGTGCTGGAGTCAGAAACTGAGGGAGTGCCAAGAATCCGACCTGATAAATCTGAAAATGACAAGTTTAACATGCCTAAAATAAAAAATAAATGTTCCCTTGAGGTTATTGCCTGTAGATAGCAGCTCTTCGCAGGGATAGTATAGCCTCGATTAAAGGTGCAGTGTGTGAGATTTAGCAGTGAGGCTGCAGATTGCAGTGTTCAGCAAAGCTCTCATACATCAAGTTAATCAGCCCTCACAGCATTTTCACAGCAATTAGTGCTGCTGACTTGATCAAGCAACAGTTAACAGTGGCTCACCCGACCGCAGCAGGTTACCCAGCACTTGGCCATGTTGTAGCTAAAGCTATCAAACAAAAACTTGCATTTAGGTAAACTTTTCTTGTAAGGCTAAGTTACCTGTCCAGCAGAAAACAGGGAAACATTTGTCCCTCATTAAGGATTTCCATCTGGGAAAAGCCACACCAATGTTTATCCTCGTCTTTTCCTCTCACCTATCCCATTTCTTCATGTCTTTGCTCTGATGACTGCGGTTGGCACTGAAACAGAGTTAACTGTCAATCTCTACCCTGTTAGCACCTTTGCCTTTTTAATTCCTTATTGTTTTTGTATCTTTTTTGCTGTTACACCCAGGTGAAAGGTGGCTGTGATGCCCCCACCTCCGCTAGCATTTTTGGCAGGCTGTTATGGAGCCTGACAGAAGAGTGTGCGCCCCCGTCACAGGCTTCTGTGACAAATATAGATCCGCAGCAGGTCTTCCTCTGCATGCTCTAGGAGGCACACTGGAATTATTTTTGTCACATGTGCACTAGAAACGCACAGGGGATTCATAATAATGGGGGATGTTGTTTTTTAAGTGTCGTCTTTGTGTTTATGTGGGGAGTGTTTTCAGTTAATATTTCGCTATGTTAAACTGTAGCAATAATTGTCCAACTACATCATTCACGTTGCAAGTGTGTAAGTGGATTGTGTGTGTCTGTAGTGATGGCAGTTTAGTTTCTACACTCCATATACAGTACAGGGTTATGGGTTAAAGCCAAGTTCCTAAACAAGATGGCAACACACCAGTTTTACTGTGGTAGAAATTGCCATTGATTGAAGTGAAAAAAGCTCTATAAGTAATTCAGCTGTGTTACTGAATAGACTAAAGCTGATTGAAGGACTACAGACAAATTCACATTGTGGAACTATGGATAACTGGGGAAAAAAACTTAAGATGAAGTATATTATACTGAATTTGATGAACTGGAACATGTTGCTGTGGTGTTTTTATTAGATATATACTAATGTTGGCTTGTAATTTTCAGTCTACAGTAGTCAGATATTTGTCTGTGTATGAGGATATGAGGATCGATACATGTCCTTCATGTTAGTTATAAATATTCATTCAGTTTTTCTTAAAAGGGAATGTCACAACTCATATTTCTGCCCTTTCTTTCACTACATATGTGAACAAAGTTTTATAAAACCTTTTGCAGCTCCAGTGAGAGCCGCACATAGTCAGTTGGGCCTGACGATTACAAGTTTGTAAATTAAAATAATCCGGGGTTGTGGAGTTAAAAAGAAGTGAGGATATCAGGCTTCAGTAGCCAAGTATCAGTCTCCTGAAAGTTCCCGCTCTCTATACAAAATCTATAATTGTGCACTTCCTTCCAACTCCTTTTCCTCAAGAGACATCAGTGCAGAAAGTTAGCTGAGCATGGTTTTCTTCTATTGCAATAAATAAATAAATAAACACACAAAAAACTGTACATAAATGGGTAGAATCTGTCTTCTATTCAAAGTTTGTTGATATCTGATATTGAAAGTGTGGCTGATGGAGAGACTCATCTTTCCTTGAACTGTCAGCTGTAGTCGCAATGTGGATTATGTACTGTAGGCACCAGATTTTGACAAGGAAGAAGAAAGCAAGGAAGAAATAATAATAATTATAATAAAGTATCACACGTATCAGTGCCCAACAGGTGTTAATTGAAATGCAAGTAGTGTTCTTTGTTGTAAGGAGGGTTGCAGTGCTGCTTTGTCTAAACTGATTGGTAACTGCTTTTGCTGGAGTGAAGGGCTATCTCAGCACAGAACAAAACTCAGTGTCAGTTCTGTAGACCTTAGCCTCTTTGGCAATTAACCAGCATGTCTGACACATCCGAGGCATTGACGAAGTAGAGGGGGCCATCTGCGTGAACTCAGTTTGTGTTCTCCAGGTCCCAGTAAGGTCAGGTTAGTCTCTACAGTCAGAATGACAGATGAATTTTCTCTATCTCTAATGATAAGCTTCTGTGCCTACTGACTTACTCTCTCTGAAGTTGAGCTTTCCATTTTACTGTATTGGATAATCACCTTTATTTGGCCAAGTATGTTACACGCACAAGAACCGAGGCAGCCATCTGCGGCGCCAACTCACACCGATGGCTCTAACCATTGGGGGCAACTTGGGGGTTCAGTGTCTTGCCCTAGGACACTTCGACATGTGGACTAGAAGCACTGAGATTCGAACCTCCAACCCTCTGGTTGGGAGATGACTGCTCTACCCACTGAACCACAGTCGCGCCGGCAACCACAGTTGCCTTTGAGAATGCGGCTAACCCAGAGAGTATAAATGGGGAAGGGAGTAAGACATTTAGCTGCAAAGCATCAGCAGTTTGTCTGTGGACGAGGAGTTAAAGACATAGTGGAGTCAGTGCTTTACTCCACAGATTGGAGACTGAGGAGAAATGTCTGGACTTCATGATATGGATTAGTTCATGGATATTAATGCCCCTCATACAGTATGTATTACTCACATGCTGTACTCAGCCTCAGTTTGTGGTCGATAAATGAATCAGTTGATCAGTCTGCCACTCTTGCTTTCAATCATGCACCACACTACAATATATATAAATCAGAGCAAAAGAGATGTAGCTCTCAACCCATCAGGCATTCAAATGATGGTAATGCATTTGCTGCAGAGGCTCCATATTGTCTTTGAGGGCAGGAAACACAATGTGAACAGCTTAAAACACTCATGCATATGAAGGCTGAAAGTCCAGCACTCGAGTCCCCCACCTCTGTCTTTCTGTTTGGGGCTCTGGAGTTTCTGAGAGAGACTTGAGAAATATGAGATGAAGGAAAAGAGGAAGAGAATAGTCTTATATTGTGACTGCATGAAGAAGAGAACTGATTTTGTTCCACATTCAAGTGTGTGTGTTTGCACTAAAAAGAGAAGAAAGTTTTGCAAAGTATACAGGGAGGGGAAGAAGCATCGGTCCTCCTACTTCCTACAGTACAGCTGTGTATGTGTTTAAAAAAGGGTGGGGGGGACATAAAAAGAGGAAGGAAGGGTAATAATCTTACATTTCACACATGCAGTTACCTCACACGTCGATGTATGCATTGTGGTGGACAGCTGTGGAGTTTCTGTCCTAGTATATTGGCTGAGTGACAGTGAGTGTGAAGTGTCTGTTAATCTTGCCTTTTGCTGAAGGTGACATCAACACACTTGCTCTTGTCAGCTTGTCTGTGTGTGTGCACCGGTGGAATAATGACTGGGGTTAGGATGGCTAAGAATGCCTTATTGAACGGACTGCTCAACAGTCCCCCCACTAAACCTTTTCCCATGAGACGATGCCTCAGTGACGTGAGTATTTTTCAGTTGCTTAACGTGAAAGATTGTTTTTGCTTTAGTTATTTTTGCTTATTTAATTCATAAAGTAGAAATATAAATGTTTGGTGTTGTAGAACAGCAGATGAAATGCTGCATTGCTGCAAGATTTGTTTTTAGCCCCGTACAGAAAGTGTCTAAAGAGAAAGTGCCTACTGTACTGATAGCATAACATGCAAAATACAATTTGCACATCCCGAGTTGATGCTATTCTCATTAGGGCATGTTGTATAACTAGCTATGGTTCACGTTCCCTTGTCCTCAGGAGAGGTTCAGCACTGATGTGGTTACTCTGGAGTCTGTGTGAGTCACTGATAATCTGGTCAGCTCAGGACAACGTTGACGCTTGTTTTGCAGCCAGGAGAGCAGTATCTCCCTGAATATCATATGGCACTATTCATTTTCACAAGCAACAACAGACTGAGATGCACTTTTGGCTTTACTACATGTAGGTCAGGGTCAGGTGTGCGTGATGATACATGTTTAAGTATATTTTAGTACAAGTGTGTTTGAAAATCTTTACAGACATGCACGTCTCCTGTGGTTTTGTTTGTGCGTGTTTAGCAAGCCCTGTGCTGCCCCTCAGTAAATTTAAGATGTCATGTGGAAACATCATCTTGGCATTTTCAGTCCACTGGTGTTACACAGTGAACAGAGGGCTCACCCCCACAACAGGGGCTGCTGCAACCCACTCCTCTTTGATCTCAGGTTAATTGGACAAAACCGAACTATGCTCTGTTACTGTATATACTCAAGGTACACCTCCTGGACACATGTTGATTAGAAAATATCAGGATTACACCATACTTTGACATGAAACCCAGTTGCCTGACCAACCGTGTCAGTTCATATTATTTCCTGCTTTGTACACTGTATTTGCATGTTATCAGAGTGTGTCTCATTCACACATTAATGTGACTGTGTGCTTCATACACCAAAACCAGAGTGTCTTGCAGCTAATTTGACTGTTGCACACAGTCAGATAAGCTGTTGACTGTAGCAACACTGAGTGCACCATGGAGCTTTGAGGCTCATTTTCCCCTAAGAGTTACTTGTTTACAGTGTGTTTGTCTTCAGGCGAACGGTTCTCCTGGTGCTGAATGAGCCTCAGTGAGATTGGTGTCAAGTGGGGTGGGAGATGCATTAGAGAGTGCTGTCATAGTAAAATATGGAACTAGGGGGGTGTCAGAAATTCCAACATGAGGTCTCGTGCCTTGAGACCGCACAGCCGGGTTTCTCAGCGAGCAGAGATGAAGAATGAATAAAGACCACAGGGGAAGCCTATCAACACTGCTTTACAAACTGTCAAGCCCGTGTCCCTGATCAGATCTGTGTCAACTCTGTCCCTCAGACATCGGACCTATTTGCCATGATTGAGAGGATGCAGGTACTGTAAATGGTCTCCCAGCTCTGCTTTTTCTCCTCGCTGCTTGATCCTGTGCATTCTCCCTCTCAGAATCTGGTTCAATCAGATTTTCACTTGCTTCCATTTAATTCTGTTTCAAGGCTCACGTTTCTCTGCTTTTCCTGCTCTTTTTGTATTCCTCATAACAACCCTGTTACTATGATTGATGTGTGTCCTTGTATCCTTCTCTTTGCCATTAACACGCGTTTGTTTTTTTCCTTTTTTGGTATTTGCAGCAGTGACGGCCTCGAGCTGTCTGTAGAAACCTCTGTGCTGAACAGAGCTTTTTTGTTTTCTCTTCACAACTGGGTGGTTATGTCTGCATCATCAGATGTGTGAAATGTTACGTTTTTCACTATACTGGATTTGTTGGTATGTTTTTTTTTGTAGCTGTGCTGTTAAAATGCAGATTTACAGGAACCAGAACCAAGAATAGGCCAGTGGAAAGATATCAACACATCTTTAAGCAGATAATTTGATCTGACACTGTCCTTGACACTATAGGCATAAGTAATGATCACAACTCAACATGATCCTCGTACCCTGGAGACACAATTTTAATCTGAATAGTCTGCTACTGAATGACAGTATCTTGGGTGGAAGCATATCATATTGCTGAAAGAGGCACAGAACATTATTTACATTTTGAAATAGACTGTAGAGGCTCAAACAACATCTTTCTGAAATTGTAGTGCTGAAACAAAGATGAATGACTGGTGTAAAGGCATGTGTGGGTGTGAAGATACATCTTTCCATTACAATTTTAAAGCTCCAAAAACCTCAGGGCATTTGGGAAAATTCAAACCTTGTTTATTTAGTTTATTTATTTTGGTTGGTAACCACCTGGATGACACTGGGGCAACACATCTGAGTTGCAGACAACAATAAAATATTTGATCTTAAGTAATGTATTCTCCAGAGGAGAATAAGTAAAGGGAATGTGGGATGGGAAACAAATGCAGCAGAGCAGTCTTCACTGAATTAATGTAATGAAAGCATTTGTAGTTTTCATTTTGCTTTGATTATCTTCTTTAGGCCCCAAAAATATGCTTTTTAAATCTTGCTGCAGGATATTCCACACAAAGGGAGCACTGATTAACACTGCTTTACTCATCTCTCTCTGTGCTTTGGGAACTGTCTGTTATCAATCACCAAAGTAAGAATGAAAACTTTAGGTGCAAAGTCATATTTTGTCACTTTGTGGCATTTAAAGTAAGTGTGACTGTGGTTAGTGATTGTTGCAACAGGGCTTAGTGAAAACACCTTCCCTGTTCTCATGGACCTTTGCTTATCTTTTTCAGCGCTCTGTAGTCTCTCTGATAGGACTCCTTTACCTCCTCCTTCTGTGGCTTGTCTGGTGATTGAGCATGAGCTTTATAAACATAAATTACTGTCACAAACAATGATCTCGCACTCTCATTCTACCAAAGAAATTTCATGGAACATGAGTGTATCTTTGCACATGAACCCGTTTTGCAGCTATTTCACCTGTTAGGTCAATATGCTGTTATTATTATTATTATTATTTTACTGTTGCTCCCCACAGGGTTGCAGAATGGATGAGCAAAGATGCCCCCTCCCTCCACCCCTCAAAGTGAGTTATAAACCTTTCTTTATCAGCTGTGAGGCTGGATGCTCACTGAGGAACTTGATGGGTACTAGGACTGCAAAATCCTCTGTCCTCTTACCTAGATAGGTTAATGCAGTGGACATGACTGGGAGATGGTCAGATATCGAGTCAGAAAGGTTACACAATAGGTGGTAATTATGCAGATGAATGACAAACAGCAGTAAATCTGTAAAGTATAAAGTGGTTTTGGAGGTTGAGGTTTATATAAAGGCCTCTTTACAGCATAGTGAAGGAGCTATAGTCTTATTGGCATAAATAATTAAAAGAAAATGTCACTATAAATGTTTCTCACAAGAAATTATGAAGCACTATATGGCCAAAGGTTTGTGGACACCTGACAGAAACATTATATTTCATTGTTGGCTGTCTCATTGTAAAATCATATGGTGCAGCTACAGTCTCCACTCCTCCAGAAGCTTTCCACAAGATGTTTGAACATTAGGGATGTGTTTCCACACAACCATAAATGCATTAGTGAATTGGAGCACTAATGGTGGGCAATCAATAAGACCTGGCTCCCAGTTGGCTTTACAGTTCATCCCACAGGGAGCAGATGGAGCTGAGGTCAGGGCTCTGTGCTGGCCAGACGAATTCTTCCACACCTTCTTCTTCTGTCGCTGCAATTTCAGAAGCACACTGCTGTCTAAAATATTGGTGTGTGCTAGTTTAGCTCTGAGTAGTGTGCAGCCACAGTGAGTGAGAGATGAAATGTTGATGTGATGTCATGTAGTATGGTTTCAGTAGTTTTGTGTGCATTAGAAGCAACTGAAAGAAGGCTTCTCACATTCATAAAGGTTGTGCTGTGGAACCTGTTTCATGTCAGTACTGAGAGTTTTAGAAGTACCGTTTGTCATCATAAGCCATTTTCCCTTCCTTCCCTGCAGACAGAAGAGGACTATATTCCTTATCCCAGCGTTCATGAGGTACTTCCAATGTACTCCACACAAAACGCTTAGCAATACACACTGTATGTTTCATAGATGTAAAGAACTTTAAACACTGAAGGTTTAAGCAGGTTAAAAACAAAGAAACATACAAAATAGCAGATATTATCTGCAAAAATAAAAGCAATGCAGCGACTGAATCAACAGACAAACACAATTACTAATCTAAACATTATTACTGTCTGTCATGGTCAGGTTCTGGGTCGCAGTAGCCCATTTCCACTCATCCTGCTGCCCCAGTTTGGAGGTTACTGGATTGAGGGGACCAATCATGAGCCTAAAGACCCACCAGAGGCTGATCAACCTCCCTGTCCTACCTATCACATCAAACTGGAGACCAATAGCACCGCTAAGATCTACAGGAAGTATTTCATAGGCAAGGTGAGTATTGGAAAAGGTTTGTTTTTCTGCAGTTCAAAAGTATTTCTTCTTTTCTGTAAGGTATATCAAGCATCTTAAAGCATTTTGTAGCATTTTAAAATATACAAAGAGAAGAGAAAGTGTGTTTCAAGAATTGCCTGCTACTGGTGATCAGCGTAGTGGCCCATGACTTTTTTTCTAGTTCCATCATAAGTAAAGGCTACAAGTGCATATTTAAAATAAGATTTTTGATTACTCTAGTTCTGTAGGTCCACACCTTTTCCTCTAGGGCACTTCAACTACTTCCTCAAACCCCACTCCATTTCTAATTTATTCTAGCTTTTTTTTTTTTTAAGAACTGTGTTACACTCTGTCAGTTACTGGAGGGGTCTTCTTCCTTGCATTAGAGTTTCTTCTGCTTATCTGCCCCCAGGAACACTTTAATTATTACACCGTAGATGCTGCACTGGGCCACTTGGTCTTTTCTATGAAGTACGATGTCATTGGGGATCAAGAGCATCTGCGCTTGATGCTTCGGTACAATTTCTTATTATTGTTATCTCTGCTTTTTCTTTTCATTTTCCTTTATCTTGCCTGTCCCTTCTTGATTACAGTCCTCTCCTTTGTAATGTTCCCTGCAATTTTCTTTGCCTTTATTCCCATTTTGCTTGTCTTATTTCTCTTTCTCTCTGGCCCTGGCTTCAAATATCCATGTAATACAGTGAATTTTGGTGTTTGATTGGTCAATATAGTGCATTTTCACACATGACTTAGCTTTTCTGGATAGATTGTCTTTTGTTGCTGAAGAATACTGTTAAGTCAAGCAAAAATGACACAGAGAGCACAGTGTTCCCAATTCTCACATGTTTGCCTCAGTGATGAATTTTTAAATGTATTTTCCAGCTTGATTGCTGACAACAGGCTTTGCTGCAGGAAGGCTTATCCCTGCTGGCCACCCAAATTTTCTTATGAATTTCATTTTCAGTTTAATGTGACTTTAAATGTCTGCTGCATATTTATGACAGACAGTGTCCAGGCTTCCATTGTTAAAGGTTTGTAACTAGAATGTATTTACTTCTCTTCTACAAAATGACTTGGGTTCAGTCACATTATGCTTTTTTTTCATGTCCGGTCCCTTTTCATGACACTGATCTGGTGGACTTCTGTTCCATTAAGCCACTAATGGTTGTTGCTGAAATCACAATTAGTTGCAAAAAATCACCTTTTCACCTTTGCTAATACTTCATCTTGTAACATGCAGCTTTCTAACATTAAATACTTCAAAAGCCTTATACTTGTGTTTTATTAGGTAAACAAATTATTTTATTAGTAAAGCAGTACCGCTGCAGATTTTGGAAAGCGAATGCATTTGCGCCCCTAAAACCACAACAGAACACATGCCATCAGAGATTTGTGTTGGTAATTTATGCTCTGGGAGTTGTAAAACATCTGTCTGGCTAATGCAACAGCATTACAAGATAATTATACCCCTGTCTTCTGCAGCTATAGATGAATCCCACCCTTATGAACAACTGTTGAGCAAATGATAAGCTTGACCCACAGGGGACCTTTTATTTTCAATGACTTGTGTAATAATGTGAGTATAAATAAAAGTGTTTGAAAGGTACAGCACAAAATCCAAGCCCCTCTGTATAAGTGTTATCCTTAAAAATGTGCCATAAAGTACAGGACTCAACAATGAACACACCTATTCCTCTCACTCACCATCACTCAAACATCGCATTCTGCTGAAGACAAAGCACCATATAATCTGTGAAGTAATTTTAGCGCCCGATCCCTGCCTTGTTAATGGAGCTTCAGAGTGGATGAGTGCGTAACAAGGTAACAGCCACTCAGCCCACAACATTTTTAATATTATGATGTTTTACGCTAGGTGGACACCACCCACAGTCCCCCTATCCCTCAGTCAAACTCTCAGCTGGCGTAGTAACACACACTGAGTCATATAGTCCATATTTAAAACATCCGCAAGAGACCCGCTGTGATAAAGCATTATCTCTTTTGTTGTTTTACTGGCCATCTCCTATGCAGTATAAAAATGTCAACAGTGGATCCTCATCTGTGGCTGGCAGTTGTTGACTTTACTAGCTAGGTAATTAAGCTAGCATAGGCTGATTAGTTTATTAAATTGCTATCTCTGGCTGACTTGTTTCAAAACAAAAATCTTGTAAACATGGCTTTGAATATACAATTTATAGCTACATAAATAATGTTCTGCTAATTTACTGAGGCTAAAATTAAACCTGTTAGGGTGCATCACTTACATATATGTTGGTGTATCCGGTACTATTATCTCTCTGAATGTGAGCTACTATACATTCTTCTGATTTTCAAATGTTTGTAGTATTCATAGTACTGTTTATAACCCTTTGATAGAGCAGTGACCCCTTAGAAAAATAATAATAGACCACTCCCTGGCAACCATGCAGTGTGCAGATCATTACACTCCCGGTTCTATGCAGTATCTGTTGGAAAGGTCCCCTCTGAATTCTGCAGGTCACTTGTATGATTGCTAAGCATAAAAGAAAGAACCCACTAAAGCAGGGGGATTGCTTTGGATTATAGAACTTTGACTTTTCAAACTGTGTTGCCTTTCAGCACAAAGCTAAAAACCTACCATGATGTGATTCCCATTTCCTGCCTTACTGAGTTTCCCAATGTGGTTCAGATGGCCAAGGTAGGCAGTTATTATCATACCAGATGTATTGTCAAAATACTGTATTTAAATATCTGTTTAACATTTAAAAAAAGCTAAATGTGCTTTTCTACTTTCAGCTTGTTTGTGAAGATGTAAATGTGGATAGGTTTTACCCTGTCCTCTATCCAAAGGTAGGCATTAGTCTTTATTGTGTCTTTGTCAAATATGTCACATTTTGCTTGCTGCATGCTGTCCACCAACACTACAGCTCCATCACCTTCACAAGAAATGTCTTATTTCCTCATCCACAGGCATCGAGGCTCATTGTCACCTTTGATGAGCATGTGATCAGCAACAACTTCAAGTTTGGAGTTATTTATCAAAAGTTTGGCCAGGTGAGTGCACTTCAAAGATACCGCTGCTCATCTTTGCTTCTGAAGTCATGTGTCACTCTTCCTGAAAACGTGCATCACATCCTCCTCACAGACATCAGAGGAAGAGCTGTTTGGAAACATGGAAGAGAGCCCTGCCTTTGTCGAGTTCTTGGAGTTTCTGGGACAGAAGATTGAGCTCCATGATTTTAAAGGGTTTGAACACTTTTCACTGCAGTTTCTTTCAGTTTTCCCAGCTGCATATTTAAGTGCTTTGGTTAATTCTCAGTATAGCCCTCTACTTAATGTCTCTCAGAAGCAAACCACCATTCACTTTGCTATTGATCAAAGCTGGCTTTAAATTAATCCCTGAGAAAGCAATTTAGAATGTCCTGACATTTGTAGTGTTGTTGACATTGTGATTGAGTAGGCAGAAGAAGTGCCCTTGGCATCCCCTCAATGATGAACGAGCATGGACGGACCAGGTGCTATGAGAACATGCACCTATGCTGCATTCCTACAGCATTTTGCTTGTTTCTCTTCTGTCTCCCTCTCGGCTGCTCTCCTCAACCCTCTCCTATTTTTTTCTCATTCTTTATTTACCTTTTTTATTTTCCTTGCTTTTTCTTGCTGTTGGCCTTAATTGTCCTCTCTCTGCTTCTATTTTCTTCTCCAGGTTTCGGGGTGGGCTGGATGTCACTCATGGCCAGACGGGCACAGAATCTGTCTACACAAGTTTCCATAATAAGGAGATAATGTTCCATGTGTCAACCAAGCTGCCTTACACAGAGGGAGACTCACAGCAGGTGTAGTGGCGTTCCAATTATTGATCATCAGAGTAACTCATTTGTCCTTTCACTGGGGTTTTCAATATTTCCAAGTGACTCCAGCATGTGTTTTACTGCAGCAGCAGCCAATGGCTTAGAGGCAACAAAAAGTAAGTTCAGGTTGATGAAGGAAGACAAATCATTTGAATCTGTAATCACCCTGGCTCTCAGGTGCAAGACAAAAGCTAAAGTGAGTGGTTAAAGCAATAAATCAAGATTGTCTGTAATCACCCTGGCTCTCAGTTGCAAGACAAATGCTAAAATGAGTGGTTAAAGCAATAAATCAAGATTTTGGGAAATGCACTTATTTACTCTTTTGCAGGTAATTGGATGAGAAAATTGTTTCCTCATAATTTAATGAGAAATATGTAGCTAAAGTAAGCAGGCGATTGACTTATCCTAGCATAAAGACAAACAGTCTGGCTCTGTCCAATAATAACAGCAGTACCACCGTGTTACCCCTCATTTGTTTATTTCATGCAGATTTAGGTTTTCATTCTTTATGCTAAGCTAAGCTAACCAGCTTTATAATGTATTTATCATGCAAACAGAGGGGGATCTAGAAAATTTTGAATTGCTATGGAACAGACTCAGAGAGAGGTGGAACATTTGAATCATGTAAAAATCAGAATCGGTAAGTAAATTAAATCTCTAGATTTGTGAAATATTAAACCATACATTATTAAGAGACAAATATTTTGTGCATAAATGAGACACGCAGTGCTTTCTTTAGCTAACTTTGGCTACGCTCCTTATTTATTCCCGGTCATGGAGGACTGCTGCACAGTGGGCCAGTACTTTGATGTTTCTCCTCTGTTGGTTTGTGGTGGAAGATTTTCTTCTTTTTGATGCTGTGTGGCAATAAACTCAATTACTATAGTCCTCAGCTGCTATTCACCGGCTCTTAGAGTGTTATGAACTTTGTTACCACAGTAACTTTGCAGAGATGGTCTGTATTGCCAAGGCATGAAGAGAAATAGACATAAACAACACCTACACTGGATGATTCATGAGGCAAGGTGCATCCATAATAACCTAGCATTATTTCAGGAAGGAGAAAGTAGCCAGATCTGACTCACTGTGATCTGATTTGAGCAGATATAGCATTAAAAGATGTCAAGTGTCTCAAACCTGCCCTGCACTGCTTGAGTTTAAGTGTTCATCTCTCTGTAATGTGGCTTTGCTTTGCAAGTTAATCTTTGCAGAGGAGGTAGGATGTCATTCAGCTCTCTGGGTTCATAAAGCTCCTGTGTGAGTAAATATTAAAGCTGACAGCTAATAGGCTCAGAGATGATACAGTTGTAACCTGGCTGCCCCGTCCCTGCAGCCATACCCTAATCCTGTTCACTCTCAACCTTCATTGCTGCCTTGGAAATTTACTTTTATCAAAGATATAAATAAAAATTCATCATTTGTTGTATCAAAAATATACAGAATTTGGTCTATGGCTCTCTAGCTACCCACTTGCTACCCATTTTTCTTAATTGAAATGCATATTGGCTTCTAGCAAATACAAGGCCAATTAAGAGCTTCTGTGATTTAAGGTCAAATTCGGTGACATTTGCACGTTTGTTTAAGAACATTTGGTGTGTTAGACGATTTCCATTCTATATTAAGGTTTTTCCATTAATATTTCTGGCATATTTATAGCTGACTTCAGCAAATTATGAAAACTTGCCAGGGCCTGAAACAGATGGTTGATTGTTCTAATGTGAACAAACAAAGTGACAGAGGCTTTAAAGTAATTGTACTGCTTATACTAACTGAAATGAATAGCCTATAAATCCATGAGTAAATATTTGCTGTGTTATACTGTGTACATAAATGGTCCACTTTTGTGACATTTTATGAGAGTGCCAGTTAACACTACAGCTAATATCAATGGGTGTGAAATGGCTTTGTTAAAAGGCTGTACTTTAGTGTGTTAAATAGCCTGTTGTCTGACGAAGGGTAATCAACACATGCTACTGCAGAGCAAATGTCATGATGTTGAGGCTTTTATTGTGGAGGAATTTGGGTCTATTTTTGCTCAGACTGTCTCTACTGAGAATATTTTTGACTGAACAGAAAATTCATCCAAACTACTACAAAATCCTATATATTGTTTTTTTTGTATTTTTTCATTTAATAAGAGCAAAAACAAACTTAATTGATATTACTGAAAACTGCTTAAGATTTCCAAGCAAAGGGTAATGAGTTGATAACATATGGTAGATTCATATTCCAGCAGAGGAAGAAAGTGTCCCTAATGCTTGGCAACACCAAGCTTTTTAAAAGATTTACTTGGTTAAAAATTTACTTGGGCACAGTCAGTCTGTCCTCGAAGTGTGCAAGTGTCCTTTTGGCACCTTTAAGCTTTTTGGCAACTGGGAAATTGCAGCTATTCAGCAGTGATGATTTGGGTTGCTGACAGCCAGCCATCTGCAGAAAAATTAAACCTTTTTTTTCTACTTTGCAGTGCCTCAGATCCAGTCATTTAAACACTATCATCAGCCTTTGAAAGCTTGGGCCTAAATTATTCCATCCTAGTCATAGCCACATTAAATGTACAGGGATCTTTGACAGTACAACAATAAGCACAAGCTATATGCAAATATAGATGTCTTGTGCACCCATGAGTTATACTATGTAATGTGTATTTATTTAGTTAAAAAAAACTTTTTGATGTAACAGTTCCAGTGTGTTAAATTCATAGTTGTCAAGAGCTGTAAAACATGGATTTAAATGTTTTGGCTGACATCTTTGAAATGAGTGTGTACTTTTTGATTAAAGTGAAATCCACCTTTCTCCTGAGGCTATGTTTATTCTTAGTCAGTCTTTCAGCGTGAGTCCTCGGAGTGATTCTCTGACAGGCCTGCATGTGTGATTCTCTAACTGGTTATTTGAGATGTTTCCGCTTGTGTTAGTTTTGTTTATCTGTGCACTCCAGCTGCAGAGGAAGAGGCACATAGGCAACGACATTGTAGCCATCGTTTTCCAGGAGGCAAACACGCCCTTTGTACCAGACATGATCCAGTCTAACTTCCTGCATGCATATGTGGTGGTGCAGGTGGAGAATGCGTGCACAAACAAAGTCACCTACAAGGTTGGTTCTAAAGACAGTCAGGAGTGTATCTGCTAACTCTGACTGACAGTGACCTGTAAAAATCCAGTTCAGTTCACTTGTTCATTGACCAAGAGTTTTAATTCTTGTGTGTGGTTTTAAAAATTGGCACATGTATCATACTGTATATCACAGTGTATCTTTCAGAAGGGTTTGATGGGCTGTGTTTACCCGCTTCCTCTTCCAGGTATCTGTGACAGCAAGAGACGATGTACCTTTCTTTGGGCCTGCTCTGCCTGACCCTGCCATTTTTAAAAAGGTCAGCAGTCAAACAAATTCATAAACCCAGATCTTTAAAGCAGAAACCATACACTGTTCACTATGCCTTCCCTCTGTGCTTACCTCCTTTAGGGCCCCGAGTTCCGTGAGTTCCTCTTCACCAAGCTCATCAATGCGGAATATGCCTGCTGCAAGGCCGAAAAGTTTGCCAAGCTGGAGGTAAGATGACTGCTGCGCCACAGGAGTGTGAATGCCTGTAGTGCCTGTGTGCACACTTGAGCACACACCTGTTTCCATGGTTGTGCATTTAGCTGGCTGCATTCTTGATGGGAAGTGATTTCAGGAGACAGATTACAATGGATTAGTTGTTGTCTTTGATGCTTCTCAAACAGCAACAATACTCCTAATGTTTCCTGTAGTATTATTTTCATCAGTTTAACCCATTTTCCTTCATTTAACATGATGAAATAATGTTAATTTAAACTTCAGAATAAGCTTTAGCACTTGTGCAAACGGACTCTGTTGTTATCAGGAGCGCACACGTTCAGCCCTTCTGGAAACTCTGTATGAGGAGCTGCACATCAACAGTCAGTCCATGATGGGTCTGGGTGGAGATGAAGATAAGATGGAGAATGGGAGCGGAGGAGGAGGAGGAGGAGGAGGAGGCTTCTTTGAATCCTTTAAGGTGCAGCCACTTCTCTCAGCCAATGAAGCGCACTGTTAGTTTGCAACTCCACATGCATGAAAGAGAATGGTGATGAGTGGAGAAACGTTTAGCGTGCTTTTTTCCCCTCCCCTGTCTTTTGGCTGGGATTCTGGGTATTCACACATTTTTAAAAAAAAGCATAGAAAATTTGTACTATCTCAAAGGACCAGTCCCGTGGCACTGATTTTCTCATTTGGCTGCGACTGTTGAAGTCTGTGTATTTTCACATGATGTTGTGGTTTTGAGGCCGGGGAGTGTCCTCTCAGTCAGAGCAAAGTGTTCTGACTGAGAGTGCTCCATCAGTGACCATTATGGTGGTACAGTGTAGCCCAGCCGCTGGGCGTAGGAGCTGTGATTGTGTGTGCCTGATGAACGATTTAATGACCCCTCATTAGGGAGCTGATGATGCAGTTTGCATGTCTCCCGATGGGCAGTGTTCGCTCGCTGTTTTAGTCTTCTTTCTGTCACTGACTAGTTCTCAGCCATCTTTACTGTATTTCTCTGCAACTTCAGAAAAATATATCCACCTTTCTCTTTGTCGCCCTGTCTCTGTAATCTCTTTAGAGCCATCTCTCTTCCATGTCTTTAGACTTTTTGTACTGTACCTCTGTATAAATGTCCTCTTACCTGCAAGTCCTGGCTATTCTTTTTTCTACTTGTCAAAAGACATCTTTCTCTCTCTCTTTCACACTTCCACAAATTACATTGGCAAACATTTTTCACGCTTCCTTCCTTTCTCTGTTCTGTCTCCCTGTGCAGATTCTGCTGCTGCTGTCTCTCCTGCTTTCTCTCATTGCCTTGGTCTGTCTTACTCATGCTGTCTCCTCCTCCCCTCCCATGATACAAAACCCCACCCCAGATTTTGCCCTGTTAAATGAAAACTTAGAAGACACAAGATGCAGTTTGATAGTCCTCCACTGCAAAGCCTACACTCTCCTCCACCTTCTGTGAACCTACATTTCTTTCGCACAGCCTCTCCCTCCTGCCTGTTGACCTGCACTGCCCCTAAGTGTTCAAAAATAGTCCTGCATACAAACCAACACATCCATAGGTTCACATTTATTTATTCATTTATTTTAAAATATTCACACATATAACAAGGTTCAACATGTAGTCATATTGCGAATATGACATTTATCACCACTGAAAAAAAAAAGATGGAGGAAAAGTTGTCAGAATTTTGGATATTGTATTAAATATATCTGGACTGACTCGTCATAAAAGACAAACTGCAGTAGGTATCCTACAGTGACTTGTCAGAATGTTTGCTGTAGGAATTCATTATATATAAAACACATATTAGAAAACATACTTACTACTATGTACGTAGTACACATATGTATATTTACTACTATGTTGGACAACATTTCAAAGTGCATTGAGATATCAGTCAGTGTGTTGCGTTTCCACATAATACCGAAGTGGATCCGCTGACGGAATCTCCTCGTCTCTCTCTGTAGCGGGTCATCCGCAGCAGAAGCCAATCTATGGACGCCATGGGCCTCAGTAACAAGAAGTCACACACAGTCTCCACTAGTCACAGTGGCAGCTTTACCCACAATCCCGCAGAGAGCCCCAAAACCCCAGGGATTGTAAGTAGCCCCTTTTGGTTCACATGATGCCCACCTATACCACACATATATTCAGGATAGAGTACATTCACAGCACAGATTCCTCTAACCCCTTCTCTTTCCTGTGAGCACAACTTTAGCAAATTATAGATTTTTGCACTTATGTCAGAGGTGTTGGAGAAGCTACTCTGAAGGCGCAGCTTTGCAAGCTACCAATTATTTCACACTGGAAGAAGCTGAACTACAGCAAAGCTACTACGAACGATAATACAAAAACGTCACATGCCAGTAAAATAATAAGATCAATAAGAAATACAAATGAAAAGTCGTTCCTTTCCTTTTATGGCCCCAAACAGTGTAGTTTCAGTAGTTAACTACACAAAAAAAAATGAAAAAAGTAATTGAACTCCTTGAATCAGTATGTAAATATGAAAGTAATTGGACTACCAGCAATCTATTCCAAAATGTAGTTTAATTACAAGTAGTTCACTGATCCCCAACACTGTATTTCAGTATGCTAATGTCAAAACAGTTGCATGTGTTCCTGACATTTTAATTTCACTGATTGCCTTTTTTTCATTTTCCATGTTCCTATTATTAACTAGCTTATTTTTAGAAAATAAATAGCATTACATATTCTCAGCATGTCAGTCATTCTCTTCTATTGAAAGAGTCTTCATCACAACATAGTGTGACAGCTAAAAATCTAGGCTTATGTTAAAAATAGAGGATCCATTGGTGAATCATTGCCATACAAGCTGATTCTGACCGTTTCTGAGCCCCAGCCTACGTCTCTATCCTGAGTGAGCTCAGTATAGCAGCTGCCTGACTACCCAGACTCCCGCCATCCTTTATGTGCTTTTGTCATGACTGTTTCTTCCTGTAAATGTTATGACCTCTCTCCACAGACATTTGCATATGTGGCTGAAAGATTTACATGGCACAAGCCATAAATGCAAGGTGCACACTGTCCTGTTTGTCTCTCTCTCAGATATGAGGCTAATTATGTTTCAACTCTTCTCTTTCCAGTTTGAGATTTTGTTGGCACGATTTCAAATTAAAACTGAATTAACCCCATTTCTGAAAGAGCTATGGTTTCTTAAAGCTACCCCCTTGGACCGTGTCAGCCCTCTATGCCCTGTTTGTCCTTCCAAATGCATGAGTGCACAGACCTGTATCTCTCAGGGCAGAAACTGCCGACATGACTGCTGCCTCGGTGGCACTCCATCTCCCGCTGTGCTCCGCTGTGCTCCGCTGTGTTGGATCCCAGCCTGCTTTTGCTCTTAAAAGCTTCTCACTGTTTCTTCAGTGTCATGTCTTTTCTATTAGGTCATGCTGTCAGCTCCTTTTCAAGCTCTTTTGCACATTGCTGTCTGAATAGTTTGTGCTGTTCGCATGAGATCTTATGTGTTCTTTTCTTCTTCTTCCCCCTCTTGCTTTTTTCCAATCTATCATCTCCTTTCTCTCTCTGCTTCCCCTGCCCTGTCTTGTGTGGCTCAGTCATTGCTTGTCCCAGGAAAAAGTCCCAGTAAATTCGGACGCCGAGGCAGTGCCATAGGGATAGGAACAATAGAAGAGGTTCATGTATTATTCTCCCTTCTTGCTGACTATTCTTGTCTTTACTTTTCTGCTGCTTTTTCATAACGTATGTGCGCAGTTAGTTTCTGTTTATTGTGTTTGAGTTCCCATGCCTGTGACATGTTTTTAAATATCTTGGTGTATTAAGTTATAATGACATTTATTTAGTTATGGCTTCATGCATGAATTCGTTCACTTCATTTTATTTTTATCACTGTAGGGGGAAAGTAAGAAATTCAGAGAAAAACACTGTAAACAGACTCCCACTTATGTTCTCATGCACAGTAACTCACAGATGAATCACAGTGCATCTTAAATTAGAAGAGTGTATCAGACATTTTGAAATTTAAACAAGTCAACTGTTTGACCTCATAACTTTAATTAAAGACCAAGGAGAACATCCAGCAGAATGCTTTCTTCAGAGATAAGAGTCAAAAATAAGAGCATATAGAATATAAAATCACTTCTTTGCCTCATGTCCAGTATATAATGGATCTGTAAAACATGTTGTGTCAGTTTCTCATTACATTATTTTAGTAGCTTATTTTTATGTGTAGATACCTTTCACCTCAGTAGCCTACTGTGTCATATATACATGTTTACACTTTATGCTGTGGTTATTGGAATGTCATGTCCACAGCATTTGACTTTCTTCTCCCACTGTCAGTCACTGATCATCCCTGGGAAAAGCCCAACCAGGAAAAAGTCTGGGCCCTTCAGCTCCCGTCGCAGCAGTGCCATTGGCATTGAGAACATCCAGGAGGTCCAAGAGAGGAGGTGAGAGGACAGAGCAGAGATGATCAGCAGGGAGTGGGCAGTGAAGACAGGACAGTGTTGCAGCAGAATATAGAAGATACAAGTTGTTGTTGGATGGCAGTTTTGATTAAGAGGAAGAGTTGTGCTTTAGAATTTCTTGAAAAAAAAAAAACTACTGGGATTTTACACCTGCACATGCTTCAGTACTAAGTGAACTGTTGCTATGTGTTAGGCGTCATTTCACTTAACATTTGTGATGCGGCAGATGATCTGTCTGACACATTAACAAGGATAAAATGTCATCAATAATTAAACAGTGACTTTTGGCTTATGGCAGTTCCAGAGCAGTTTCTTCATACATATTCAGATTATATGAATTTGTTACAACATTCATCAATAGTTTGACTAAATTATTACGCTATGAAATAAATGCATTTATAGTATTTTAATTTCTCAATCTTTATTTGTGTTCTGAAGCCGGGAGGTATCACCCAGCACCCAGAGGACACCCGACAGCAGCCACTTCGCGCAGGAAAATAAATCAGACAACTCCTCCAGTCACAGTTCTCCAGAATTTCCTGTCACTAAGAACAGGTGACTATTTAACTATTTCAATTAATTCTATATCGTAACTATAGTATATTATATTCACACACATATTGAGAAGTTATTTGTGCTGATCAATGCCTCAGGTGTGTGGATCAATGCATTTGTGCATTTTGGAATAGTGACTCTACATGGAAAACTACCTTCACAGTCATAGATTGGAGCTTTTTTAACCATCTTTAACATTTTAAATCCACATTGTCCTTTCATGCAGTGTCCATATTTGCCTCCAAATTTTATAATACCATAACTTGTAAAAGCAACACCCTCCTCTGATTCTGCAGGAGACAGATGCCTACAAACAGTATAATAAAATTTGGATTCTGGTGTTGTCTTAATAACACAGCACATTTCATAGTAAGGAAATTATACACATGCATGGATTACAACTAAAAAGAGACAAGAAATCATCAGTATGATGCAGTTTAAAATATGTTGTACTGTGACTTAAGGGCAGCACTTCAGCTGCTTGTAGATATGTAGGAAAAATATTATGACAGCCAAAGCAATGGTTAATTTAGAGGATTATTTTAACTGGCAAACAGCTTAAAAGATTACCTGGCACACACATGCACCATTGTCACTTTGCCTGAAACTGCCTGGAACAGGGGAGGCTTTGAAATGAAGATAAATTAATTAGGCTTTTGGAAGGAAAGGTAATCATGACAAAAATGAAAGCATTTTGATTATGTGGCCCCCAAATAACTTTATTGTATGAGAAATGCAGATTTTTGTGCGGTCAGAGTGACCCAGATGTGTAGTCTGGCGATGTGTTGCAGGGCGCCGTCCATCCCCGAGGCTCAGGACCTTTCGCGCTCCTCTTCCAATGCCAGCAGTTTTGCCAGCGTTGTTGAGGAGCATGAGGATGAGTGCGAAGTTGAAGAGGAGTTTGACACTGGACCGGTGGGTGGAGAGAGGGATAGCCATAACATTACAGTGAAAGTATACGCATACAAATACAGTATGTCACCACCCCAAAACCAAAGCAGCACAAATCGTCTTTTACAACTGGTGACATATTTCAGTTATTTGTCTCACTTTTACTGTGGGGAAGAAATAATCTTGTTTTCAATCTGTGGTTTGCTGTCACCTAAACAACTGAAGCAAAGGATTTGAGAAGGTTTGATGTATTTCACTATATTAATGTAATGACAGGACTCAAAATGTATGGCGCTGTAGTCATGACCACGCTGTCTGCTTGTCCTTGTTATACATTACTGGTAGAAAGGGAAATACTTTTGTCTTCCTTTACCACTCCTACAGGAAAGTGTGTCTTGTGCTACACCAGTCAAGAGAGACTCATTTGTGTACAGCTCTGGGATGGAGGACAGTGTGTGCAGCACCGGCCAGGGGAGTTCTTCAGGTGAGAAAAGGACTCATGTTACTGTTCCAGGGATAGTCTGAAGGTGTGAGGGGCTGGAAAAGTACCAAAAAAGTTTACGGTTTCACATATCCAGGCTATCTGGGGAAACTCTAGACAGTTCAGATGTATAGCACTCTGTGCTTCCTGATACTGAAGCACCCTTGAGTGATGAACGTCACCTCAGCTAGAAGTAGAACAAAACGCCTGTTGTATGCAGTTGTATAAAAACAAAGAGCACTTTGCAAACTTATCTAAAATGAATAAAGTTCACTACAGCATTACAAACATACAGTATCTGTGGTTCCCAAATAACTTCTGTTATTCTACATGCTTTTTACTTCTGTCACTAATCTTTTTTTGTGGCTATAACAACTGGCAGCATTATGTGCTTGAGTTTGTTTACTATGACAAACACACATCTGTTGCCCTCCTGCCAGCAGCTTCTCGTCTTCAACAGCAACCGGATGGAGTGAAGATACCGGAGCCAAAAGGGACAGACAGCAGACCCAAAGCAGAGCGCCCCCCGCAGGAGCACAAATCCTCAATGGTGAGACCGAGCGCTTGGCATCAAGTCATAAATTAACACTGATATGTTATATACTAAATAATAAATCAAGAGAAGTGAGCCTATAGCCTCACTAGCGGTTCTGTGGTGCTGTACCTATGTACTGCTTTGAGCAAAATGCCTACAGATTAATTAATGATAAAAATAACCATTACCCCTTCTGTTTTTCCCCCATACTGTATTTGCTGATATTAATCATTTCTCTCCATCATCTCTTCATGTCTATATGCAGAACTGTTAGCCACACCCAAGTGATCACTATGTCGGCACCCATTTTCAGGTTAGACAATGAGAATGTTAATGTGTTGGGGGCCTGTTTATTAAAAGTATGACAACACAGCCATTTTCCCTTCCTTCTTGGTTTTTACTCTCTCTTTACTAGGCTCCTTTTGCTTTATGTCAGTCTGTGTAATTCCCATTTCATCTCCTCCCTCTTAGCATTCCCTTAAGAGGCATCCGTTGCCAAAAATGAGCCACAGGTATGTGAACTTCACGACGGACGTGGAAGGGCAGCAGAGTTAGAAGCCAGAACAAGAGACGGACAGATCTGCCCTTGTTTATTTGGCATCAATCTGCTGCTTGTTGAGACAAACATCCAGCTTCCTAGATGTGTTCCTCTCTACCACCCTCACTGCAACACCTTGTGAAACCTCCTTCCTTGAATGCTCAACGTAAACAAGACCTCCACACCCATGCACCCAGCATCACTACTGGCTGTCATCTCTCAGCTGGCTTTGCAGAATAAATCTGCCCACCTGCTCATTCTACAAGTCACTAAGCTCTGAAATCTGCAAACACTCAAATGTTGTGTGTTGTCTCTTAAAGATCAGGAACTCAACAAGATGTTAATCTTGTGACTGGAAGAGGAAAAACTGAGGTCGATCAAACAATTGCTGTTTGTTTAGCTTGTCAAACTGTGGGTCTACAGAGAGGAGAGTTGCACTAGAGGGAATGTTTTTTAATGTCAGCTTCACATCCCACTGTGATATTGTATAAGAGTTTAACTTTGATGTACCTGTTTGTGTGTGTGTGTGTGTGTGTGTGTGTGTGCATTGTGGAACCTGTTAACACACTCACATTATGGGGACTCGGCCACATCAATCAAATCAATGAATTTTAGGGTGGCAACATGGTGTAAGGTTAGGTGTGAGGATCATGATTAGGTGTTAGGCATTTAGTTGTTATGGTTAAGGTTAGGATAAGTCTACAGGAAATGAATGTAAGTCAATGTGAAGCCCCCACAAGCAACGGAAACACAGCGTGCGTGTGTGTGTCTGCCAGGTCATGTTTTGTATTTTATTGACGATCCCCTCTTCTTCCTCTGAGTATTCTGCAGTGGATATTTATTGTGTTTTTTTTGTTTTTTTTGAATGACAGCTTCAGTAATTTCATCATGTTTTTGATGGAGGGTACTTCTGTGACGCTGTTGTTAGTAGCTATAAAAGCATTGTTCACCCTAGGTGGGTGAAGAATCAAATACCACAGAAAATGTGTCCGTAATTTTTACCATCACAATTTAGTTGTACCACAGTGAATCCGTAGCTTAAAAAAGATAATATTTCAACATAAACACAGGCTATATTGAAGCAGATGTACTGCCTCAACCAGCAACATGCATTGTCAGCCCAGACATCTGCTGTTTAAACCTTTGCCACATAGATCTTGTTGACTTTATGTCTGTGTACAGATGTGTGTATACAACAGTACTGTGGATGGTGTAAATCTGCTTGCCAAAAACCTCTCCTCTGTACTTTTGTGCCATGCTTGACATAGGTATGTTGTCCCTGTACTTTGTGTTTTATTGAAAACCAGCCAACATCTCCAGATGCAGTGCACATTGCTGATAGAGAGCCAAATGCCACAAGTTCCTACTTTATTTGTAAAATTTAGTATATGTGACCTAAGCACTACATTTTCTGAGTTATTCCAAATGCTGACCTTTTGAAGAACCTGATTTTTTGCTGAATATGAATTACACTGTGACCTGTCTTAAAGTTGCCTTTATGATTGTGTTGTGTGAGCTGCTTTGAAGCAGGGTCTTATTTAAAGGCACTGTGCTGCCAAGCTGGCCTGAATGTAAAACTTTGCAGACATCTTTATTTGTACATATCTGTTCCAGTGAATGGTGATACTATGCGGACCCCTTACTACAGTAAACTTAAGTCTGAAACAGGAAAAAACTGATACAAGAGATTGTTTTATTTCAGTAATATAACTGTGTCTGTAGTAAACACGACTACATTTACAGTTTGTGAAAGTACAAAGGTTTAACACCCTGGAAAACAGCATTTATATTGTATACTGTATTCACTAAGCTGATAAAGCTACAAATCCCCAGGAGCAAAGTAACATCTTACATTTGGCTCAACAGAAAAATAGCACAGAAAAGCTACAGAGACATTTTGGTAATAATTACGCATCTGTATCACAGCCTTTCAAATTTATTTATGAAAAGAGATGATTTCAGATGATTTTCCTCTGCCCTTTGGAAATGTTTGAGTGGACAAGGTGCACCCTCTTGTGGCTATGTATCACTATAGCACATCCCTTTGCAGTACCATTCATCCAACTGTGCTCGCACCGGCTTGCACTGTATGCAGATAGCCGATCCAAACCACAGCAAAATCGGGAGTGTGCTCAATTCAAATGATTGTATTTCTGTTCTTGTAGAAAGCCTGCTTAAGTTCTTGTTCAAAAAACTTGTTTGTAAATACTGCTTTTCATCTTTTTTGTAAATGAAGCAAATAATTATGTTTAATAAAGATCAAGATGCATACAATAGCTCTGACCCTGAAGCATACATCGTTTGGGAAAAAAAGAAGCACATGTTCCAAAATGATGAGGAAATGAAGCATTTCATCATTTTAAGACAAAGAGACAATGAAAAAAAAGTCCCCCCACCTTAAAGCTAACTCAAGTTGCTGTTGTTTTCTCCTTGTGCTCCCTAGACCTGTTTAAAGTTGTAATCCTTAAGGTTTTCATTTATGGTTAACATTTTTCAGAAATGACCATCTCATTTCATTGTTAGCAGCAGAGTCTGCCATTCTCACACTGGTTTCACAGTAGCTTCACATGCACAGGTGAACAGAACATGCATTTAGCTTTATTCTGTTTACACCTTAGTGTACACCATAGTTTACACCATAGTGTTCAACTGGCAAAACTTGGGTTGGGTTTTAGAGGAAATGCAGTGTATTTATCACCTCAGTTATTGCTCAGTTATCGGCAAATGTATATACTGTATATCAAAAATGTTTCTACAAAGCAAGATGGTTATTTTCTACTTTGTATAAAAACACATTGTTTTGGCAGCACTGTAATCAGACACAGCAGTTAATCGTGTTGTATTTATGACAAAGAACAGAGGTCTGCTGTCGTAACTAACCACACATGCTATTACAACAGTAACCATGGGTATATCAAATCAACCATGACTGAAATCTTAAGGATAACAACTTTAACCCATCATCACCCACTGTTTAGTTTTTGTTCACATCTCCATGTTCCACCATTTGAAGTCAAATGGTTTCCTGCGGACGTTGGAGCCACAGTGCACCTCTCCCAGCTGTTTGTGGTAGGAGGCAAAGTCATCTATGAACGCACAGTTCAGGCCCAGGCGCCCCATCAGGGAGCACATCTCGGCCTCCAGGGCACAGCTTCCGTTTACCTTGGGGCCAAAAGGCTTCGGGATGCCAAGGTTTTTCCCCAAGACAATCATGTTCACCTGAAAAAA